CTTCGCCTCCTGGATTCAAGCGATTCTCCTGCCTCAGCCTCCCGAGTAGCTGGGACTACAGGCATGTGCCACCACACCTGGGTAATTTTTGTATTTTTAGTAGAGACAGGGTTTCACCAGGTTGGCCAGGCTGGTCTTGAACTCCCTACCTCAGGTGATCCACCTGTCTCACCCTCCCAAAGTGCTGGGATTATAGGTATGAGCCACCACACTTGGCCCACTTCAAGACTTTCTAACCCTGGAGTCAGTTTCAAGGTCAGTGAAAATGACTGGTGCAAGATCATAGTCTTTTAGTGTCTTCACCGCCTCCAATCTATTGAGCTTCTTCTATGCCAACTTTAACCATACATGCCTACAGTCATACATTTTCCCTTTTCATTTCAAGTGACTACGAGATTAATTAAAGTGTTCTCCTCTTTGTCCCTACAGTCTCTCATTCTAATATGTTAGGACATTTCTAGATTTGTTCTTCATTTCATCAATAATTTCAGTTACATTTTTGCCAATGCTCTAAGTTCATTTGTCCATATCCTGTATCTCACTTGCTTTGAAACAGCTTAACTCTAGGAGAACATGATAGAACATACTGGAACTACCATAAATCTATGAATAGCAAATTCACAGAGGATTTTAACACTATCTGACTCTTCTCTTGCTAACTCTTGTTAAAATCCTCTGTGAATTTGCTATTCATAGATTTATGGTAGTTCCAGTATGTTCTATCATGTTCTCCTAGAGTTAAGCTGTTTCAAAGCAACTTGAGTTGTCTTCCTAATTGTCTCTCTTCACATATCAGAAACCCATAACCTATGATCCCACATCATAATCACCCCAGTATGTGATACAATCCTTTCCCTAATGGATTCCTTTCCCTACCACCTTCTCAGAGACCACGCAGTCTATTGCTCCTTATCACTTTTAGATGGTTAACCTCTTCCTCTGACACAGAGACTTACCATCTGTTTTTAAGCATGTTCAGGTGGCAAGGACAAAGCTGTTACTGTATTTTTATTTCTCACCTCATCTCAACAACAAAACTTACCAAGAGTTCTTTACATTTATTGATTCCATTTCCACAATTCCATTCTTATCTAGTGTCCATAGATATTGGGTCATCATAACAAATTTTGTGGAGAGTAATAATTATAAAATAAATGGATGTGGGAAGGGGTGGTGTTTTGTTTCCATGTTTTTTTCTTATTTGACTTTTGCCATTATTCATTAATATTCAGCATAAACTCTAACATGAAGCATTCTTTTCCTTTTCTTTTTTCTTTGTTGCTAAGATGTCATGTTCATCACATGTCCCTCCTACTCCTTAGATCATTCCCTCTCTGTCTCCTTTGTAGAGTCACTCTTATTCTATGCACAGTCATTGAATGCTGACTTCTTTGCCCTCTCCCTTGCCACACTATATAACCAACGGACAATCTCAAACACAGACCTTCACTGTTAATCTATATTATGTGACTCACAAAATTAAATTTCCTGTATATCTTAGGCCTCTCTTTAAAACCTCAGGCCCACATACACAATTTATTTTGCGACAGTTTCCCTTAGAAATCTGCAAATCATCTTAAGCTCACGAGGGGATAATTAAATCCACAGTGCTCCCATTTGTAACAAGTCCCTTTTCAGTGTTTCTTATTCCACCAGGTGGCATCCTACATATCCCTTCATGAAAAGCAATATTTCAGATATTCTTGATACCTATCTCCTTCCCTTTTATTCCATATTCAATCTACCCTCATTGCTTGCTGATTTTTTTCCACGTATTATACAAATATGTCCACTTGTCATCTCCTCCATTCACCCTTCATGTCATAGCTACATTTGTACATGAACTATTAATATTTCATTATCTTTATAACTAATCTCCCAATTCCTCATTGAACTTTTCCATTTAAATTACACGCTGTAACCAGGGTAATAATTATGAAATTCAAGTCTGCCCTTCACCTAAGTATTATATCATTTCAATGACCTCTCTTTGCCCTAAGGAAAAGATCATGATTCTTAATAAAGCCTGGTAGAGACCTACCCTGCTAGCTTCATTTTAAACTCGGGCTAAGCTACCTAATATCAAGATGCAATTATTTCTGTTCTGCCCTAATGACCCCATGTGGGGTTTTGAACATTACATGAGACTGGCTCTTCCCACACACCCTAAAGCAGAAGAAAAACACAAACTGCGTTTTCTTTACAGACTGTGGTTTAAAAGTTTTTGTCCATAGTGACAGGCAGAAAGCCAGTGGCTCTGATATATCACCTCTTACTGCTCTTTACCTCATTCACTTTCTGTCTCCCCAAACTAATTACTTTCTTTACTTTTCTTCAAGATACTTACACGAGAACATTTATTCCTCCATCTTTAATTTGCACAGACTTTCATTTTCCTGGAAATATGGTACTATAAAGGACAAAATAAACCTAATTTTCAGGAAGTAAAATAAAAAAAGAGTCAATGTTTTTTAATATATTATGTGAATTACTTCTACCTTTCCAATATTTGAGCTGTATTCGTTTAAGCCTATGAATATAATATAATGTCATATGTACAGAAAGCATCGTGTTTTACTCAGGACTTAAATAGTGAAATCAACTAAGAGGCATCTTTTAGACTGAAAAAACTGATTCTTGAAGCTCTCACTAAATTTGTAGAGGCAATATTTTAATAGAGTTTTTATGGTCAATCAATGGTAAATATTATTACCATTAGATTTTTCTGTTAATTATAGTTTTACCTATGATCGTGTATCATCTCCATTTAAAAATTACCCTAAAACTTAATGGCTTAAAATAACAAATATGTACCACACAATTATAGAAGTCAGGAAAATGATGGATTTGGGTAGGTGGTTCTGACTTGAGGTCTTTCACGAGTAAAGGTTGTTGTCATGTTGTTGACCCAGGCTGCATCGCCTGAAGCCTTTAACTCGTTTTGGAAGGTCCATGTCTTAGTTTGTTTGCACTGTCACTACAGAATACCATAGACAGGGTAGCTTGTAAACAACAGAAATGTTTCTCATAGTCCTGGAGGCTGGACGGTGCAAAATCAAGGTGCTTGCAGATTTGGTGTCTCGTCAGAGCCCGTTTTTTAGTTCATAGATTGCCGTCCTCCAGCTCACATGGCAGAAGGGGCAAGGACGCTTTTTGGGGTCTCTTTTATAAGGGCACTAATCCCCGGCTGGGCGCGGTGGCTCACATCTGTAATCCCAGTACTCTGGGAGGCCGAGGCAGGCAGATCATGTGGTCAGGAGTTAGAGAACAGCCTGGCCAGTATGGTGAAACCCTCTACTAAAAATACAAAAATTAGCTAGGTGTGGTGGCACGCACCTGTAGTCTCAGCTACTCAGGAGGCTGAGGCAGAAGAATCACTTGAACCCAGGAGGCAGAGGTTGTAGTAAGCTGACATGGATCCACTCCACTCCAGCCTGGGTGACAAAAAAAAAATTAAAAAAAAAAAAAATTAAAATTAAAATTAAAAATCAAGGCACTAATCCCCAACATGAAGACAGACTATCATCTACCAAAAGCTCCACCTCCTAATATCATTACACTGGGGGGTAGGATTTCACAAATTCAGTGCATCGTAGTCTGCTTCTAAAATGTTTAATCATTTGACTGGATATCACATAGGATGCCTCTGTTCTTTATGTGAGCTTTCTAGGAAAGATAGTTTGGAATTATTTGCATGGTGGCTGGGCTCATAGACAGTTGAAGGAGAGAAAGAGAGGGAAACACTAGTAAGGAGCAAAATAGTTCACTCAAAATTAAAACTCTAGCCTTCGTGACCTTGTCTCAGAAGGTAACATTCCAGTCCTGTGGTGTTTTACTTCTTAGAAGGGAGTCACTCAGCTTAGCCTGCCCTCAGGGAAGGAGTATGAAACTCCACTTCTTAAACTGAGGAGAATCAACAAATACGTGGATATATTTTTTTAATGGTATTTCAGCTCATGAACCCATTTAAACCCATTTTAGAACTTTAAAGAAATATTTTAAAACGGAATTTTCAATTAAGCAGAATAAATTCCCAGTTGTGGAACAGTGCACTTCATTGCTGCAATCACACGCATATACACACACACACACACACAGTGCAAACTCGTACATAATCAAATCTATAACCTTATTACACAAAGTTTTGTGAGAGGAAAAATGGTTGACTTTTCAAAAGGGCTCATTTATTAAAAATAAAATTACCTTTGTGCTAATTTTAGTTACAACCTTTAAGGAATCAATGACTATATACTTTCTGTAATCATCCTTTAAAATTAGAATTATTGAAAAGCTTTATGATCACTGATGAATGAAAGAAAGTAGTATTGATTTGTGGCCAAGAAAGATGATCTCAGGCAATAAACAGATTTCTTTGAAGAAAACATTTTATTTTACTACTTTCTGACATTATTGAAGTAAGCCAGTTTTAAATAAATTCATCATGTTTTTAAATTTAATCACATATTATTTTATCATACATTAGGTAAAGTTTCAATCTAACTAACTCCTGGATACAAAATGAAGTGTATGAATTTATAATTACAAATACCCAAATGGTAGAGGCATGTATATTTCAATGACATTTATAAATTTTATTTTGTTGTTTGTTCCTTGTGTTTGTTTTATTAATCAAATTAACTTATATAGATATATGTATGCAAATGAGACAGATATAACCAGTTCTCTATAAGTAAGCATTATTTAATGGAGTCTTTCCTTTCACTAATGATCATCAGGATAGAGAAGTGAGTTGACATTTTCAGGCCATTAGGTTAATAGTTCCAGTAATTCTATTAATGTTTCGACAGTCATAATATAAATGATTCTGTGTGGCTTGAACTAGTGCATTTTCTTATGTAACAAATAAGAGGACGATTTTTAAAAGTGGTAATTACTATTTTTAAATATGAAAATTAAAAATAATAAAAAAATAGAGGTTGCACTTTGAGTAGCCATAACATTATCTTTAAACATATTTATTCTTCATTTCCTAACTTTTCCCACTTTTTCGCTAAATCGTATGTTCTTTCTCTAACCTCACTTCTATTTTATTACTCTCTGGGAAAGATTTTTATTATAAAATGTCTAAACGATCAAACCTAACACAAGATGAATATCTACACATTGCTATACCCTCTGGTCACTATTTTTTTCTTCTTTTTATTGCCCATTTCCCTGTTCTTGAAACATTCCAGTTATTGAAAAGCTTTATGATCATTCTACTCTTCCATGACATTCTACTCTTACTTTTACTTTTTTCTCTCTGATTACTCATTTCCAGTTCCCTTGTCATCTCCTTGCCTTCCTACACCTGCCAATTAAGTTTGAATTTCCTCTGCATTTCATCTCATATCTCCTTTTCTTCTGCCAAATTCTCTCCTTAGTCACCCCCATGGTTTTATATCCTACTTATATTCACGGGCTCTAGAATGTATAGCGCCAGGCCAAATCTATCTTAAGAACTTACTTTACTTAACCAATTACATCCGCAACTGCTCAGGATCATGTAACCCAGATCAGCATTTGGCTCATTTTGTAGACCCATTTTTTCTTTTCCTGGAAGTCTATTTTGACACCTACGTTCTGTCACTACCCACATTTTAGCATTTAGCCTTGTCAGTTTACTCTCATCCATATGTAACTCTATTCATTTTCTTCTCTCTCTTACGAACAGCATTTTGAGCCATCATGACCAATTTTGCAGTATCTTCTGAAATTAGCCTCCTGTTTTGCATTGGACATTTTCATCCCAGCAATTCCACCGATTTCATTCTCAAAATTAAGAGTTATATTTTTCAATAGCTGTAATCATTGAATTTCCATGCTTAAGAAAATGTTCAGAACAGTATCAGTGCATTTATAATAAAATTTTTAAAATGGACCCACAAATCTCTACGTGTCCTTCTAGTTTTATTTCATTTGTTTCTCCTCAGTCTCTACATTCTGATCACCATGATCTTTTAATTCATCTGAAAGCTAAGCTCTCTCTTAATTTAGATTCTCTATACTTACCATTTTGTCTACTTAGAAGTATTTTCTTCCATCTTTGGATTGTTATTGCAAATCCATTGAGTAGTTCTCATCAGAATTGCTTCTTCCTTGGGATGACTTATAAACACTTCCCCCTACAGCCAAATCAGAAGACCAATATCAAAATCTTTAATCACAACCTAAATTTGCTTATATGTAATTATATTGCAAGAATTTCTTTGTCTTTATAATTATTATTCATTTATCTATGATTTTTAAAAAACTCTTTTATGTGGTGATGCTAAGCTCCATTATGTTGGGCTTGTTATCTGTCTCAACTATCTTCCACATCTACCACAGTACCTGCTACATAGATGTATTCAATATATATGGTTTGAATTAGTAAATGATGAGCAAGCATGTACTTTTGTTCTCTTTCATTACAGTGTTAGAAATGCTATTACAGCATTAGAAAAGATAATCAGAAAGAAAATTTAATAGATCATCAGAAAAAAACCCAAGATTTTTAGGCAAATGAGCCTATGAACACAGGTGCAATGGACTTGCAATTTACCAAGAAATAGGTTTGTCATACCTAGAAACCAAATGTATAAACATGCTTTTATGTATTAATAACTTCATTTTCCAAAACACTCTATATGAGACAATTATTGATGGAAATACCATTTGCTTCTAGGCTCATTGGTTAAACATAAAGTTAAAAATCTTTGTATGACACATAAAATTGTGGTGACTGCTTAACTTTGCAACTGTAGTGCTCCTGAAATGCTCATCTAACCACTCTGTGTTCCAGACCTATAAAACTTAGATGGTGCTAAAATTGTGTATTCTTTGTCTACAAAACTTAGATGGTGCTAAAATTCTGTAAAAATTGTGTATTTCTTCTACAACTAACTTCTGATAAAAAGGGGGCAGAGAAGGTTAACTCTCTCCCCCTTTAGCTTTATTGGCTTAGTGAATTTCTACAAACATAATTTAAGTGCTACATTTTTCCAGAGTTTTAATCGGGAAATAAAAACCACAATAGGTATCTTAAGCAGAAAGTGCATTTCATACATATACAATAGGAAGAGCTAAAATAACTAAAGTATGGTTGTAACTGTGGCATGGAGGAAGGTTTTGAGTTATTGAATTCAAAGGCACGCAATCATTTCTGCAATCCTGGGTCAAAAAGACGCTCTTACTATTAAAACTTTAAGCTTCTTATGCCCGTGAAACTGGTGATTAGGCACAAGGATATTGAATCCTACCACTTCCACTGCTGAACTATTGTCTCCATGATTTCACTTGCCAGAATCAACAATAGCAAGGCAGGCTTTGATCTTTTCCATTTTTCTAAGTCTAATTCACATGCAAAGAATGGATAAGTGGTCTAAGCTGCATTCATAAAACTGGCTCAAAGGAAGCTGCATTGCTTGTTTTAATTTTCTAACCTCTTCAACTTTAAGAAGAGTGGAATGAAGGTTGAGGATACCTGTCCACACAGTCTACCACACACCTTCCATGAAAGGTTCCCCAACACCTCCAATAAAACAATATAAACACATTCTGGAACCTATATTACTCTCACACCATAACACTTCCCACACTTCCCACAATACTTTTGCTCTTCATGGGAATATCCTTCCAAAACGTGCTGGTATCTCCTGAGCATTATTCATCTATCAAATTTCCCCGTCTATTATAAGGTCTTCCAATTGTTAATAAATGTATTTTAAATGTATTTTAAATTATTAAAATACATTTTAATAATTGTATTTTAAATTATTAAAATACATTTTAATAATTGTATTTTAAATTATTAAATATATAATAAATGTATTTTAAATTATTAAAATTCTGAACTAATGGGTAATCAACCTTACAATCCAAATTGCTGATTCACACACAGCTGAAGTCCCTCCTCAAAACTTCTGTAATACATGTAACTTAGGCAAGTGGTTGGGTCATTACCATATATTACTTTATATTTTTGTTTATCAATATATGTGATTAAAGTTATGCTTATGTTAATTTGATATGTATATGTTAACTTTTATACATATGTACATTGTATTATTTTGTTATATAGCACAGCATTTTGTGCTCATAAAGTGACTGATAATAATAAGCTGCATACTTTGGGAAGCATTGCAGGCTAGTGATACAGGTTTTTCTTTCCCCTGCAGCCTGACAACCTCTTTAGTCATTCACTAAACCTCTCTCAGCTTCAGTTTCTTCATCTGCAACATAGAGCAAATAATAAAACTTAACTCAGATGGTTCCGATGTGAAACAATACAGAGTAAATGTGCCACCAAATACACACCAATGGCCTGATTGACATAACTCATTGCTAATCTTCTTGAAATGATTCCAAGTATTTTCCAGACAAGCACACACTGAGGGAATTCATTGCCACTGAATGAGTCCTATGAGAAATACTCAAAGGTGTCCCAAACACAAAAATGAAAGGTCAACATTCATCATCATCAAAACACATGAAAGTAGCAAACTCACAGGTCTTGTAAAACAGTCACACAAAGTAGGGAGAGAAATCAAATAGCAACACAACAGATTTCCGCCAGACCACAAAGACAAAAAGACAGACAGAAAGAAAAGCAAAAAACAACAATAAAATAACCCCAAAGAACTTTTAAAACAAGCAGAAAACAAACAGCAATATGGCAGAAAGAAAACCTCATGTATTAATATTAACCTTGAATATAAATGAATTAAACATTCCACTTAAAAGATACAGATTGATGTTGGGCCAGGTGCAGTTGCCTGCACCTGTAATCCCAGCACTTTGGGAGGCTGAGGTGGGTGGATCACGAGGTCAGGAGTTTGAGACCAGCCTGGCCAACATGGTGAAACCCTGTCTCTACTAAAAATAGAAAAATTAGCTGGGCATGGTGGCTGGCACCTGTAATCCCAGCTACTCGGGAGGCTGAAGCAGGAGAATCACTTGAACCTGTGAGGCAAAGGTTGCAGTGAACTGAGATTGCGCCACTACACTCCAGTCTGGATGACAGAGTGAAACTCCATCTGAAAAAAAAAAAAGAAAAAAAAAAGGTAGATTGATGGAACAAACTAAAAAAAATCCAAAAATGTGCTGCTTACAAGAAATGTATAGACACATACAGACTGAAAGTAAAGACACATATAGATTTAAAGTAAATAGATGAAAAAAGATACTCCATGTAATGGAAACTAAAAGCAAGCAGGAATAGCTATACTTATATCAAGTAAAACAGAACTTAAACCTAAAACAGTATAACAATGACAAAGGAGGCCATTACATAATGATAAAGGGATCAATTCAGTAAGAGGATATAGCAGTTCTAATCACATATGCCTCCAACTCTAGAGCACCAAGATTCATAAAATAAATATTACTAGACGTAAAAAAGGAATAGACAGCAATACATTAATAATGGGGGACTTTACCATCTCACTCACAGCATTAAACATATCGTCAAGACAGAAAACAAATAAACAAGCATAAGACTTAAATTCAACTTTAGACAAAACAGACCTAACTGACATTTACAGAAAAATTTTACCCAGCAACTACAGAATATACATTCTTAATAAAACTGCAATTTCACCCAACAATCCCACTACTGGATATCTACCCAAAGGAGGACAGATAATTATATGAAAAAGATACCTGCACCCATATTTTTTCGCAGCACTATTCACAATAGCAATGTGTCCATCAATAGATGATCAGATTAATAAAACTAGCATATATGCACTCTAGAATACTATTCAGCTATAAAAAAGAATAAAATCCTGTCTTTTGCAATGACATGGATGTAACTGGTCATTATTTTAAGTGAAACAAATCAGACACAGAAAGACAAATACTGCACGTTCTCACTTACAACTGGAAGCTAAATAATGTATACACATGGACAGAGAATATGGAATGACAGGCAAAAGAGACTTGGAAATTTCAGGAGGGTGGGAGGAGGGGATGATGAGAAATTATGTAATGAGTACAATGTACATTTTTCAGGTGATGTATATTCTAAAACCCTGACTTCAACACCATGTACTTTATGAAGGTAACAAAATGATATTTATATCCCATAAACTAACACAAATAAAAATTGCTTTCTGTACTTACTTTAGCCAAGTTATTATTAGGTTCAACATTCAGCACTTTACTTAAATTTTCTATAGCTTCCTGGACCTTTTTTTGATATTTATATATAGTAGTGTGGCACAGAAATGCTAATATTTACCAAAATAATAGTTATATTTTTAATAAAAAATTAATTCTACAACTAGAATCTCAGGATGGAATGCAGACTGTTACAAATTTATCTAGCTCTGTTAGGAACCATACAAAATAACTTCAGTGAGGGACTTAAGGGAAAGGATGCTGGTCAAAGTGATATTGAAAATGAGTGCACTCTCTTAAGATGAAAGGCAAAAGAAACTTGTACAAGGCATTTAATCTAGTTGATAAATATGTTCTTCTACCAAGGGCAGGTTATCAATCTGGTATAGCTATACACATATACTGGAAGTGAACAATTAACTAAATAGATGTCAGATGGTGAGAGTCAGGATTTTTATTGTTGGAGTGGGGGTTTAGAGATACAGGAAGGTAGTGATGCTTGTGGGACTAGGTTAGAGATAGCGACATCAGTAAGAACCCATGTTTAGCTTAATGTAGACATAGATGGTGATATGGTTTACATTTTTGTCCACGCCCAAATCTCTTGTCCAGTTTTAATCCCCAGTGTTGAAGGAGGGGTTCAATGGGAGGGGATTGGATCATGGGGCAGATTTCCTTCTTGCTGTTCTTGTGATAATGAGTGACTTCTCACACAATCTGGTTGTTTAAAAGTGTGTAGCATCTTCCCCTTAGTTCTCTCCCTCCTTCTCCAGCCATGTAAGATATGCCCGCTCCCCCTTTGCCTCCTGCTATGATTGTACGTTTTCTGAGGTTTCCCCATCCATGCTTCCTGTACGGCCTGTGGAACTGAGAGGCAATTAAATCTTTTTTCCTTATGAATGACCTAGTCTCAGGTAGTTCTTCATAGCAATGAGACAATGGACTAATATAGATGGTTACATAATAGAAATATTTAAAGATATCTGCCTATACATTGTGTAAGAATATACACATATATTTCTTT